ACCCCCCCCCCCCCCATTGCTTTATTTTTTAATATAGCTACATTAGTAATACACACTTTCGATATTTACGTCATTTGGCCTGGACGCCTCCCTCTCGGATCGCGAGTCAATCACCTTGCGTAATTTACTAATGAGAGCGAGGCTCCATGACCAAAAAGTATGTTCGACGTAATTATCGAGAGGGTGTATTATTAACAGCCAGTGGCGAAGCTAGCCTTGACAACTGGTGATGCTACGCAAACCTTAAAATATAACCATGCCAGTTGCATTGATTGATTTATAACTTTATTAATGTGTCATATCTTATAGAAAACGAATCAGCTTTCACTAATCGGGAACACTAATTAATTCATTGATTCATTGGTGTGGTCGCCAAATCCTGGGTTACCATGCCGCTGGCGGATTTTGAACAACTTCAATAAATTCTGGGAGTTGTATACAAAGAGATTGGATACTCATTTGATCCTCATACTGGATGGAAACATATGGAAACATTGCTTGACTTGCACGGTTTCCATGTCATTTATCTCAATGGTGAGACTTGCACCAGAAGATTTCAGAGCAGAAGTATCTTGACTGCGTGCCTCGCAGCTTCTTGTTCTCTGCTTCTTACAGCAGGAACGAGCGAAAAGCCTGGGGTGGAGAATGTGTGGAGAAGTTAATGCGAACAATGAAATGCGAAAATGTTGATGGATTGAAGAAGCGAAGAAGAAATGAGGGAGTAGGGAAGAAGGGTAGGGAAGAAAGGAGAGAGTGGATGAAAGGAAGGGAGAGGGGGAAAAGTGTGGGGAAGAAAGGAGATGGAGAATGTGCAATCGATAAAGAAAGAAAGGATGTTGGGAAGGAGGGAGAGTGTAAGAGAGGAGGGATAAAGGATATGAGAGAGTAAAAGCAGGAGGAAAAGAAAGGAAAAGAGTGAGGAAGGAAGGACGAAAAACAATGAAGGAAAGGCGGAAGAGAAAGGTTGTAAAACTAAAGATGGACAATTCAATACCAGCTTGCAATGTATGTCAAAATGCTGACTATAATGGTGCCAATCATTCCAATCACCGCACCAGTAATAATCACGTCATTCTGGAAATTAAACAAGGACTACGCGGAAATCTTTAAAATATCCATCGAAGCCAATGCGTGTTCTTCGCTGCTGCTGTCGTCGTTGGAGCTGTTTATATTATATTTTGTAGAGCTATATTTATTATTGAAAAGTTTTTATTATTCTCATGTGCATTAGGTACCATTCTTGTTGCTATTCTTTTCGGCTGTACTAGTATTGTTAGTTTCTTCAGCTGTTGTTGTTTCTATTCTTGTACGTTGTTGTTGTTGTTGTTGTTATTCTTGTACGTTGTTGTCGTTGTCGTTGTAGTTGTAGTTGTTGTCGTTGTCGTTGTCACTGTCATTGTCGTTGTCGTTGTCGTTGTCGTTGTCGTTGTCGTTGTCGTTGTCGTTGTCGTTGTCGTTGTCGTTGTCGTTGT